ACTCACACTTGTTGCATTTAAATGTTTTCAGGGAAGGGTAAAAATCCAATGGAGTGACTTGATAATAGTTGCAGATAGAGGTGTGTGTATATATATATTGTGGTCATGATATAAATGTATGCTTTGTTAAAATTATTAGAAATTTATGATCAATGTATAAAAATGTTTTGAATGTAAATGATTTTGATATATATAAAAAAATATGCAGTGTGATGATCTTTAGTTTAATTTTAAACTATTATTAATGATTTGGTTGCTCCTTAAGATAAAAATTAGCAGATAAAAGAAATTTCTTCCAATTAGACCTTGACCTAAATAATATATTGTATACTCAGCATGGATTAATCTATTATCATATATGAATAATATAAGGTTGGGTTATGACTGTGTGAATGATAATTTTCACAATTTTCATGAGAAATTTTAATTAAGAAGGCATATGCATTTCAACCATAATTGGCTCTGAGTTTGCAATAGTTGTTGGAAGATCGGTAGATGAGGAGGCTCTGATATCGTGAAGAAATATGAATGAACTAGCACTTAAGTGAGCTGAAAATCATAAATGACAATTTGAACTTGAGAGAAAATAGAGCAACTAATAAATTGAAAATTTTGTTCTACTAGCAACAGTGATCATTAATACAGAAAAATGCAGAGCTTAAGAACAAATATACTTGGAAAAAATACTTTTTCAATGGATAAGAGACTAAGTAGTTCATGATTATACTAGTCACTTCCTGCCTATATTTTAAGAAATGATTATGTTTGTGTGAGCATAAGCATTAAAATTAATGTTGAAGAATCCATTTACTAACAGAGTGCATGTATTTTTCTCATGACAGATGAGTCCAAAGACTAATATAGCATGAATGTATAGCTGCCTTTATCATTATATTATCTTAATACCATTAAAAATAGGGAAGAACACTTCATTGTTATAAACTTACAATAGTAAAATTAAGGAAAAGTCCTTTAATTTTTCACTTATTAAACTGTATATGAAAGTGCAGTTTTTATTTTTTTGGGACTTTTTCTTACAAAGCCCCTAAAACATTGCTATTTATAAAATAATCACCTTTTTTCCATCCTACTTTGTTCCTCAAATTTCAAATTTTATAATAAAATTTCAGTCTTTTTTTTATCAAATTTCAAATATTTTTACCGTGACATGTTTATGTGGTTAAGAAAATGATTTGAATGATTATTTTATCCATAATAATATTAGTAATGACATATTTAAAAAAAATTATTTGAACCGCAGGATATTTTGCTAAAAAAACTTTACCCCAAAGATGCTAAGAATCACAACCTAGAGCGATTTAAAACCTATAAAAATCCCTTTTTTTTCTTTTGTTTAAGAAAAAGCTCTCTTTTTGCTTTTTTAAAGTCGGGGTACACATTCTTTAATAAAATTTTACCCCATCCCCCCACCCCGAAAGAATCCAATGCACATCCCATCTATAAAACAGCATCAGAAGCGCCCAATTAATCCCAACCCATCCGCTAATCAATCCTCGAAGATCCCCAGCACAGAAAAGAAAGCATGAGCTTGTTCCATCACCACCACCACCACGATCAAAACCCCTCCGTCAATCCACCTCAGCCTCGCCCCGCCCCTTTCGATGGCGAAATGATCCGCAACCCCACCGTCCGAATCTACACCAAAGCAGAAGAAAATTACTCCCTCACCGTCCGCGATGGCGCCGTCATCCTCGCTCCGGCGAACCCCCGCGACGAATTCCAGGCAACTTTCATTCAACCGCTCATAAAAATTCTCTCTTTTCCTTTCCACTCTCAAATCCCCAACCTTCGCTTCCCCTTTCCCTGATAAAAATCCCACCTTTTTTGTTTTTGCAGCACTGGTTCAAGGATTTCCGTTGGGGCACGCAGGTGAAAGACGAAGAAGGTCTCCCTGCTTTCGCTCTCGTCAATAAAGCCACCGGTTTAGCCATCAAACACTCGCTCGGCCCAACTCATCCTGTATTAATTTTCTTTAAACTAACAAAAGTAATAATAATTCATGATATGACAGTTCACTAATTTTTCAACTGAAATTTGTGAATGAAGGTTCGTTTGGTACCTTTCAATCCTGATTTCCTGGACGAATCTATACTGTGGACCGAAAGCCATGACACTGGAGAGGGCTTCCGCTGCATCAGAATGGTGAACAATATACAGCTTAACTTTGATGCCTTCAATGGCGATAAGGAGCACGGTGGCGTTCATGATGGCACCACCATCGTGCTCTGGGAATGGGTTAAGGGCAAGAATCAGAGGTGGAAGATTGCTCCCTATTACTGTAAGTTCTCTTTATTACTTTCACCATTTTTGTTTTTTAAAGTTCTTCCTTTAATTTATTTTGTCTTGTTCTGATTACAGAAAGGGAGGAAAGACGATGGATTCTGGTGAATGTGATTTGGAGCTGAATGTTACAATAAGATTCGTTCCAGAGTGGGTTGCTTTTAGCTGCACTTTGAACGGAGTTTGTTTGTTTTGTGATGTTGGATGTTTTTTGTAATGGCTTGATTAGTAAGTTTGAAGGCTTCCATATGTCTCTTATGTATTCTGATAAGTTTATAAACTTGATGGGGTTAAGAGTTATATCATAATGCCGCCTTGTCAGGCCTGTTATAGCATTAAAAAAGATAAGGATTACAAGATGATCAAATTACAAACACAAGACAACAAAAAGAGATTACAGTCATGGCAACGAGTCCGCATCACGCACCAAACAGAAGATAACAACAAAAAGGTGCTCCAAGACGGGAAGCCGAGTATTAGCATGGTTATCATGTAGATAAAACCAAAAAAATAAAAAAAAAGGGAAGAGTTTAATTAATAATTAATGGATAGATAATTTAATGTCAGATAATTCTATCTAAAGTTTTAATTGTATTAGTTTTGAAAAAATTACGTTCCTAATTTAATCTTTCAAAATATTTACATTTGGGTTACGGTCAATATAAATAATATAATTTTTAGTAATTCAAATAGTGTGTCGCAAAAACAAAAAATTTTCTAAAAATTTTACAAGTTAAAATAAGGTGCTGAAAGTATTAATCAAATTAAAAAAAAACAATAGATATGAAAAAAAACTATTAGTAAAATATTTGTGGTGAGTCCGTTGGTAGAATAATCTCTTTCATGGTTGTAATTTTCCTAAGTTATGGGTTCAAATCCTCTCTTGGCAGGCAAGTTCGTTAGAATCCTCGAATAGTTGGACAGGTTATTGGGGGGCTTGTATAATAGTCTTCGACTTTTCTTATTTATATATATATATATATACACACACACACATGTGTGGATTTGGGATACTCATATGTTATAAAAATGTGTGTATCATCATATTTTTAAAAAATAAAATATATAGAATGGAATCGTGTGCTGGGGACGTAAATTAACCATTTTTAAAATTAACTTTGAAGCTACCACCGAATTTTGATGATCCATCGATTCCCAAAAGCTGTGTTCGCTGAATCAACTCATCGGAATTCGAACTACTTTCCCACCGACGGCAGCTTTTTTTCTGCATATATTCCAACCCTTTTTGAAAATGTTTTAATGTTATAAAGAGCAGGTAAAAATTGAAATAAAATGAAAAAAAAAGTGAATTTATATTAACGTTTTAAAAGTGTTTCTCAAGTAACATTGCATTTTTATGCATATTCATTTGGTCTATAATAAATTCTTAGATACTTTTTAGATTATTTATTTTTTAGAATAAATATTTATACCTATTCATTTTTTACCACTGGCTGGCATAGATAATATCGCCTTGCATTAATCAATATAACGAAGCGCTAACCTAATTATATTGAAATGAAATAAAAAAAAGGCAGGGCTACTTTCTCTCTTCAACGTGGCTTCGCTCTTTTGGTTGGTTGAACTAATTACATTGAAATCGGGGATGCTTAGCTTCAAAGCACCATGTCTTAAATGGCGGTATTTTCAGTTATTAAGTATTTCTGTCTCCGTCATCTTTTTTTTCAGTTAAGTATCTATATATCGAATAATTATTATTATTTGTATATTTATTGAAATATATCGAAAGATATATTTCATTTTCCTACATTAATAATAGTGATGTTTTTTATGTAATATTAAAAATTTAAATGTTATAAATATAAAAATTAAGATATAGTCTTAAAATACAAAATTTAACGCTAAAGACGTACGCAAGCGTCTCTTTTCCAGGCATCATTTAGCTGGCATTAGTATAAATGTTTTGGAGGCTAATTGGTTGAAAACCCGATTTAATGTGGCAATATGTCGGCTTGCACTAGTCAACCTAGAGTTTACCAGGTCAGGATGAATTTCAGCTGAGCTTACCTTAAGATGGGCATTAATTGATTTGGCCTGAGTTTGCTTAAGCACGAGCAAGCATAACTAAAATGAAAAATAATTAAAGAGTTTTGAGATAAAATAATAGAAATATAGCATAAATCAATTAATGAATTATTTTATTGTTGAATTTGAATCTATCCCGGAGTCACATCCAAAGAGTCGAGTATAAAAATGGAGAGAGAGAGAAAGAGAGGGAGAGAGAGCGCACAGTGAAACATTAGAATGGTATGCTTGCTAGAAAATTTGATGCGGTAAAATAATACAGTGAAACATTAGAATGGTATGCTTGCTAGAAAATAATAGATTATCATCTTAGTGTTGCACGAGAATTCAACACACACTAAGTTAAGAGAAAATAACCAGCAGTAATGCCAGAAGTTTTTACATAGAAAATCGGTAAAGAAAAAAAAAACTACGGGGGTCTAACCCTGTTGTAAAAATGCACTATAAGTTGATGATTACAGAGACCCCTTATCCCACAGACAAGAAAAGATTACTAAGTTTTCGAAGTTATAACATTTACTGACGGCTTCCAGTTGTTGGTGGTTAACGGTGATTGGTGGTGATCGAAGACGGTCAGCGGTGGTCGACGACGATCGGTGGTGGTTGACGACGATAACGGTGCTCAAAGACAGTTGGTGGTTGTTGATGACGCTCAGCAGTGGTTGAAGACAATCGGCGACAGTTGGCGGTGATCGACGGCGGTCGGCAGTGACAGGGGTGGTGCTGGACTTCAGCTCATTCTCAAAGTTTTAAGTTTTCTCTTAAGTCTCAAGCTCCCCCTTCATAAGAGCGGCGTGGCTCTATTTATAGTGTTTAAGGTGCAATTAATGCACAAATAGGAACCACTTTGACCAGAAAATACGTAGAGCTTCCTTTAATCAGACTGCATTTGATGGACATTTGAGTGCTTTAACAATGTTAGAATTGAGCAATCTTGAGTTTGTTGGATTTGTCTTGTCGAGACGCTCGATTCAACTATAGTCTTGCTAGATTCGACAATCATTTAACCTTATACATCTGTTTGGAAAACTTCTAAGAGTGGTTTAATGACTTGATTTGAGCTTGATTTGACTAGGATAAGACTGAATTTTGGAACATTGGGTTCTTCTTATCGAGTCGGTCACTTTGATAGTAAGTTTGCTAAAATCGAAATTCTTGATGAGTTTTTGTCAATGTTTGAATATTTCTTGCTAAAAAAATTACCTCGAGATCTATGTCATTCTTTCGAGATTCATGTCGGATGATGGAGATTTGCAAAAGATGTACCATAATTGATTTTCGATTAGCCTTTACTAAAGAAGTAATCTCTCTATTTAAAGGAAAGTTGAGGGGGTGGGGGAGAAGTACAGTATGTATAATTACTTGCTCACTTCTGCTTTAATGGAGGCGTTACAGAACAATTTAGATATTTACATAAATGAGCCTATGGTTCGACTACCTCATTACTCGGTCGGCTGAAATTAGCAGACCTTGATTTGACAAGGTACATTTGTCCAACTATAATGAGTCAGGGTTGTTTGTTGGATACTAAGGATCTATGGTTGTCCGGACTTGACTCGATTGACTTGAATTTGACGATCGACTTTTCTAATCCGACTGTTAACTATTGATCCAAAGAGGAAGAAAATTCATCGATAAGAAGAAAAAGGGATGTCGGGCAGAGGGTGAATCAACGTCATCAAACAAGTAGCTCACATCTTGATAGAGTGTCCTTCTAGATGCTCTTGGAGTATATTATGGTAAAACCCAACTTTTTATGAGATGGCTGGGAATGCTGAGGTGAGAGTTTGGTTGATGTCTTCTCTCGGCTTGATGAATCTTGGTCTTCAGCTCAGAAATCACACGTATGGTCGACTCTGTGCCTCAATCCAAGGGTTATGCATTTGATCAATCAAATTCATTTACCTTTGTGTCTCTTAGTACGTTGGATTTTCTCAAAATTCATGCTCATATTTTTTATGTACATTAATATTAATAAGCATCTAAGGAGTCATTTAGACAGATTAATTAATATTTATTGCGGAGTCATTATATGTATTAACTATTATAAACTTGGAATAACTAATAAACAAAAAATAATTCAAAATCAATAAAAAACTACTTGTTTAGAATAATTAAATGATTTGTATGATTTTAATTAAGATAATTATGATTTCATTAATAATAACATATGATATTTAACCATATAATAAGTGTTGATACTCCAATAAATTTTGATCATCTGACATGAATCTCGAGGCATGACATGAATCTCAAGACACATTTTGAACAAGAAACATTCAAACATCAATTAAAAGTCATCAAAAACTATAATTTTAACAAACATATAATCAAATTGGCCTGCTTGATGAGATAGACCCAACGTTACCAAAATTGGTCCAATCTGAGTCAAATCAAACCCATATCAATACATTAATCCATTGGATGCTTTCAACGCATGGTTAGAAGGTCAAATTGTTTTCAAATCCAACAATCTTATAGTCAAATCAAATGTCGTAAGGAGACAAGCTCAACTAGTCTAAGATTGCTCAATTCTGACATTACTAAGACACTTAATATTCACTAATTACCTTCTGATCGAGGAAATATCTCTGAGTTTTCCTATGGAGTGGTCTAAATTCTTCCCTTATTTGTATAGATATCTCTTCTATACTCTATAAAGAGAGCCCTACCCTCCTCTTGAGAAAAAGGGGGGGAGACCTCCAGCTAGAAGAAGACTAAAGCTTGAATGAGGAGTTGAAGTCCAACATTGCTTGTGCAGCGCAAATCTGACAAATACCTCCCGCTCCTGCAACAACTGACCACTATTGACCACTGCCCACTGGCCATCGTCGACTACAATTGGCCGCACCTAAATTATTGCAATGAAACCCCTTGAAAAATCACAACATGTGATGCAAAATCTCGACGTATAATGCATAGTAACAATGCATCCTATAGAACAATACACTACACATACAGGTGCAAATAATGCATCACAAATGTGTAACAATGCAAATTAATGAAGATGACTTTCTCCGGGTTCCTAAAGCTCTCTGCTTGCATCTCACTATTATGACATACGTGACCAACTACGACAAAAGTGGTCCATAGCTCGTGCAGCTCTCGATGCGAGCCTTTGTAGCTTCTGGACATCATCACAACTTACTAATATGATCTATGAGACCAACTACGATCTAAGCGGCCCAAAAATTGTGCAGCTCCCGACTCCATCCTAT